ATGCACTGTGTGACATGCTTGGAATTATCTATAAGAGCTGGCTGGAAGGGAGGTGTTGGGGGGAGGCTGGGACAAAGGCATCCGTCGGCTTCCATGTAGAATGTGCCTTCGCTCCGTGAAGGGCTGACTAGTGGCCTTGGGGGACAGGGGCTGGTTGGGTGTGTCAGAGGTTCCGATTGTTGAACCAGGATGCCCTGGAGCTTTTCGCTAGCTTGCCTCGCACCCTGCCTCGGAGAGCCGAGCACCCAGGAGGTGGAGGTGTGTAGGAGTGGTAGGAGGGACATAGGCTGGGGCTCGAGTTGTGCGACAAGCCATCTAGATTCCCCGTCCGCGCCGGCAGGAAGGGCCGGTCAAGATAAATGCCAGAGATCTGTTGCGAAGTTCCCGTGGTTGGCAGATGAAGAAATCCGAATCCCCAGAGAGGCAGAGTCACTGGTGCAGCTGTGTAGATCAAACTCTCAGATTGCTCTGGATACCGAGGAATGTCACCCAGAATGCCCACTGCGATTCGGCTGGCTCTGGGCGGACTCCAGCCTGGGCTAGGCCTAGGAAGCCTCTTGGACAGATGAGAGACCGAGGCCCAGAGCAGAGCCAGGATTTCTCTGCAGGTCCCAGGGCCTTAGCGCAGGGAGAAAAGCTGGGGTCTTATTCTCAAGACTCCTGTTAGACCTAGCCCAGCAAACCACAAGCACCCACCAGGCCACCCCTCCCTGCCTGGGCCTCGGCTGGCCCCACAGCTGCCTCTGCACTGGTCTCAAGGGCCCCACCCTACCCTACCCAGAGTGGCAGGGGCAGCTGCCTCTCGTGACAAATGTCCTCCGGCCTCAAAGCCACACTCAGTCCCTCTCAAAGCTCTGCCGTCCGCATGGCGTCCCTTTCCTTCCAATCAGGCCCCTCCCATGACAATCTCCATGCCTGTGCCAGACGCCTTGCTGTGGGTGCAAACCCCACGGAGACGGTGTGCTCATCCCCATACAACAGAGGAGGCTCCCCCTGCCAGCTACTCACTTGAGCTCCCACTGGGAGCATCTGTGAAGTCAGAATGAGCTCCGACCCACCGGGCCCCCAGCCACATCCACCCCGCCAGTGCCCCAGCTGGGCCAGGTCTGCCCCTGCACTGCAGGATGGCAGGGTGCCAAGCACTGCTGTGTTTCACCTCTTTGGGAAGTCAGTGCTGCTCTGAAGTTCACTTTCCCCACCTGTCAAACAGAGCTAAGTTCCCACCATCGGGAGGAGCCAAGGACCTAGTGGCAGAGGCTCTGGGTCCCCAGGGTGAGCCAGCTCTCCTTCAGACTGCTCAGAGCCTGGCCTCCCCATCCCTGAACACACGCAGCAAACACTCTATGCTGGGAGCCGTCCATGCAGCTGGGACCAGACAGAGCCATTCCTGCTCCTGACAGGGCAAGGGAATCTCACAGTGAATGCCTTAATCACACATGACGATCTGTGCTCCAGGGAGGTGCACAGACAGCAGGTGATGGGGCTGGGGTCGGCGATGGGAGGGAGCCAGGAGAAGAGGAGAACAGCCTAGGGCCGGAGTCCTCCTCACTCCTGTCTCCCACAGAAGTGTAAGCACCTTGATCAGGCCCCTCCTGAAGCTTCCCTGTCCCCAAGGTAAACAGTCATGTCCACTGCTAGTCACCCTCCTCTAGCCGCGTCTTTGCCAGTCTCACTTCAAGAAAGGTGCGCCACACACAGCTCAGCATAGTCTTCTGAATGAACCTGACAAGAACAGAGAGAAGCAGGACTGCTTCCTCCCTTGTTTTAGATGCTGGATCTCTATTAATGCCTCCTAGGTGCACCTTCCCTTTAGGCCATGTACAATTGCCATTGGTAGGAGCACTCCACTTTGACCCCGACTTGCCCGCTCCCCAGATCACCCAGGGCCCCCGCTCCGTCTGTGGTGTCCCTGTCGCCTCCAGACACGGGCTGCTTTCCAGCACGCCTGCTCCTCCTGCTGAGCTGGGCTGACCAAGAGTCCCCCGTGCTGGTTCCCAGGCTTGTTTGTGCCAGTTGAACCTGTCAAAATAATTATGTCATGTAATTAAATATTACCTAGAATGATGAAATGCGAATGCAAAAGGAGAGAGAGCTGTTTTCCGTAGAAAAGTAGTTGACTGCTTGGAAAACACTCCCTTATAAGCGTTTTGCTTTAAAAATTGCCATGAAAGTGGGTGTTGGGGAGGCGACTACGAGAGTGTAGGGCAGGGATGGACGAGCCTAGGGGGCTGTGTTCAGCTTCTGCGAGGGGGTCTCCGAGATCTTCGTCCACATTAAGGCAACAGAAACCAGGAGCTGCAGCCTGGCTTTCAATGTGGGCCCTGCCAGCCGCAGCAGCGCCACGGGGAATCTGTTCAAAATGCACGTTTTTCTGTTCAACCCAGCCCTCCCGAATCAGCAACTCTCAGGCAGGGCTCAGAACCTGTGTCTAAATCAGGCCTCAGGTGTTCCGATGCCCACTCGAGCCTGCAAACGCTGCTGCAGTGTAGACCAGTCATCAGAGGGGTAATGTGTGCAAGAAAAGGTCCCAGGAGCCCCCGAAGAGCAAAGGAGCCCCCAGAGAGGCTCTGGCCTCACATCCAAAGATTGGCGAATGAACGCGCTGCTTTGTGCTTCCAGGAAACGCAGATGCTGAAGGTCCAGGGAGAGCCATGTAGGGTCCCCCCGGAGACCGCCCCACCTAAGCGGGCTTCACCTGAGTGATCACTCAGTCTCCACCCAGTCCTGCCAGTGCAGATGAGCGAATTCTGCTGAGGTGACATTCAGTGAACCCTTGGCACACCCCAGCCCCTGAACACCTCACTGACATGAGCCAATTAATCCCCACAGCACCCTCTGCGGGAGTGCTCGGCAGTACCCCCATTTTTCAGATGGGGAGACTGAGGCACATAGTCATTAAGTGACACCCCGAAGTGACTTCTCGCAGCCAGCACGTGGTCTGGCGCTCTGGGGGCCGTGGCTCGGGGACCAGCCCCGGCCTCTTTGTGCTGTGACTGCCTGTGGGTTTTCCGGCAGCTCCACCATGCCTGCAACGGACCCGGCTTGTCTGTGCTGTGCTTCATGCGACACGACATCCTGGAATACTTCAGCGTCTATGGAACAGCCCTGAGCATGTGGGTCTCGCTGATGGGTGAGTGGCCACCCCCTGCAGCCAAGCCTTGCGGACGAGGACCGGCTCCCCAGTGTCCACACGCCCACCCTCAAACCAGCCCCATCCCAGCCGTCCAGCCCCACTCACTCCCATCTCCAGAAACCTCTTGCCTTGTCTGGGTTTCAGGGTTGTGATTATGAAAAAGAATATACACCTCTTAAATGCCTTGATGCCGATTTTTCATATCCATTTAAAATGACTCATTTAGTAAAAGCTTGTTGTGACACATTTCAGCAGCAGAGGCAGACAAAGGAAAAACTGAAAGTGTTCCCTCCTGTCGCTCCTTCCCTGGGAGGACCGCTGTTCACTGCTCAGGGAATTGGCTTCCTAGACTTTCATACAGACATCCGCACATGCGGGTGATATTCAGCCTGGGAGGCAGGACCGTTCATAAGCCCCCTGTCCCACCATGTTTTTTTCCACTTACTCTTGTCTGTGGCAAGGTCCCCATGACCTGAAGGCTCCCTGCCATCCAACCAGGCCTGGGAGGGGCTTCGCTTCTTCCCGTGAATCTTAGTGTCTTTGTCCTGCGATCCTATGGGATAGATTCGATCCCATTCACTTTGCATAGTGATTATGGATTTTTAGTCACAGAGTCTCACTCTGCCACTCGGGCCGGAGTGCAGTGGCATGAACACAGCTCCCTGCAGCCTCGAACTCACAGCCTCAAGCCATCCTCCCACCTCAGCCTCACAAGTAGTTGGGATGACATGCATGCACCACGACACCCACCGAATTTTTTGTGGAGATGGGGTTCCCGCTATGTTGCCCAGGCTGGTCTCGAACTCCTGGTCTCAGACGATCCTCCCGTCTCAGCCTCCCAAAGCACTACTGAGATTGTAGACCTGAACCACCACAACTAGCTGTGGTCTATTTATTAAAACAAGGTGCTGGGAGCACCATCCAAGCTGCTGTGTCCATGGGGGAAGCAGCAGGCTGCCTGTCCTCTCAAATTGGCTGGAATTCAGACCCTCTCAATGACCAGGCTGGGCCTCAGGGTCTCGCTGGCTGAGGAGATGCCAAGAGAGGGCACCTACAGTTTGCCTCCTGGGGGCTGCGGGGTGGGGGGCAGCCAGGAGGAGCGAGAGGGACCACTCACCTCCCCCAGTGTCTCCCTGGCCCCTCCAGCACTGGCCGACTTCGATGAGCCCAAGAGGTCAACATTTGTGATGTTCGGCGTCCTGACCATTGCTGTGAGGATCTACCACGACCGCTGGGGCTACGGGGTATACTCAGGCCCCATCGGCACAGCCATCCTCATCATTGCGGCAAAGTGGGTGCGTACTGTGTGAGCCTCGATGAACGGGGACCCAGGAGGCCCGTCACCTCTCCCCTGTCTGACTCCTCCTGCCTTGGATCTTCGTTTACCTCCTGCCTCACAGGCAAATGGGTAGATGCAGGAATTCAGTGAAAACACATAGAAAATGGCCATCAGGTGCTCCGGCTGTGCAGTGTGTGACTCTTGTCTGTACTCACCAGCTCCAGACTGAGCCCCAGTTACCCAACCTCTCACCTCCATGCCCCTACCTGTAAAGCAGGTGTTGTCATTACAGCCCCCTGCCTGTCTCATGGGGTGGTTCAGGCACCTGAAGTCCTGGTATGCAGCCTGGCTTCCAATGTGCTCCACACATAGGAGCTATTTATTATCACTCTCATCATCACTCTTACTACAGCTGCTTTAGAGATGCGACATTAACTTGGAAAATGACCTGGGGGTAATCTGGGAAGACTTCCTGGAGGGAGTGAGCCTTGACTTGGCTCTAGCCAGGAGGGAGAGTGTGGTATGAGAGTGAGGAAGCCTGGGCCAGAGCTTCTAGCACAGACAGCCTCTTGCAGAGCAGCGAGGCTCTGGCACCCATGAGGCCCTCACACAGTCCTCAGTGCTCCCTGCTCCCTCCGTCCTATCAAGGCCTTCCTGGCTCAGGACCAAACCCCACTCAAACTCGCCCAAGCTAAAGAGGGATCCTAGGGCAGAATAGACCCAGGGCATCTCCTGGGACCCCAGAACAGGAGGGAGCTCACCTTTGCAGGGGTCTCGCAGACCTGGGGGGCCAGCAGGCTTCAGCCTGAGCCTGCCCTCCAGGCCTGCAGCAGCCGAGGCACTACCTGAACATCCGTCTGCTGTATTTCACCTCTTTGGATGCCACCTGAAGTCTCAGGGTCCCAGCTTCAAGTGCTATGAGAGGACCTGGCCTGGTCCACCCCAGCCACACTGCCAGCCCCAGTCAGGACCACAGGGTACCCAGCAAGCCAGAGGGCAGCTGTCAGTGCAGGAGGGCCCACGGCTGTGAGGAGAGCAATCGAGTTCTGGCAGGCAGCTTGCAAAACGTGTCCCAATCCTCCCCACAGCCAAGGAGCACGGAACTGATTTGCCATTTGGCCTATGAAGAAACTAAGGCATGGAGGCCTCAGCAACTTAACAGGACATTATGGTAGGGCAGTGACTGGGCCAGGACCTTTTTTTTTTTTTTTTTTTTGACGGAGTTTTTTTTTTTTTTTTGAGACGGAGTTTCTGTCTTGTCACCCAGGCTGGAGTGCAATGGAGCCAACTCCGCCTCCCAGGTTCAAGTGATTATCAGCCTCCCGAGTAGCTGGGATTACAGGCGCCCGCCATCATGCCCAGCTAAGTTTTATATTTTTAACAGAGATGAGGTTTCACCATGTTGGCCCAGCTGGTCCTGAACTCCTGACCTCAGGTGATCTGCCTGCCTTGGCCTCCCAAAGTGCTGGAATTACAGGCGTGAGCCACCGTGCCTGGCTGGACTTGACTTTTTGAGCAGGAGACAGAGGATCTGCTTTCTGTCTCCAACTTGAGGAAGCAGAGCTAACCCTGGGCTGACCCAGAAGGCCCCTGGGAGTTGCCTGGCAGGGAGAGAGGGAGCGCTGGGCATCAGTGGCCTGGACCAAGGTGGGTGGCGGCAAGGAGCGTGCTGGGGCCCTGGGCCCTGGCCACCCACCTCTCCCTTCCTTCTGCCCCCGAAGGTTGCTCCTCCCGCTGGTCTTGGCCAGGTCTGAACTGGGCTGAATTGTGATTGGCCAGAAGAGAATTCACTGGTGGGTTTCCCACCAAGAGCCACGAGACTGCCAAGGCCCTCAGACTGCAGATCCGGCCACAGGAGCCCAAGATGGGCCACCCACCTCCCCGCATCTGGGACTCAAATTGTTGTTTTCTAGACCATTTATTGTGGAGTTTATTTTAGATTTTCAAGGGCAATTGTTTCCTGGAATGAGGGTGGATTTTTCTCCCTGAGCCTCGTCCCCTCTTGGGAGGGGTAGAGCAATGATAGTCCTGGAGAAAGAGGGAGGGAGGGTTGGGTGATGGCGCCCTTTCAATAGTGCCAGGCCTGCTGCGTGACCTGGGGCAGGCACCTCCCTTCTCCCTGGTGTTACCACTGCAGGACCGGCCCGAGGTGGGCTGGCAGCCGTGGTCACTGCAGCCAGGGTCACACGGTCCAGCTGTCTTTACGCTACTGCGCGACTGCAGGTGCCCAATTCCTTGTTGGCAATGGAATTCCAGAAAACGGAAAGCCGGGCATCAATTCATCATTCACTGGGTGGCGAAACCTGACCTGACCCAGCATAAGGCTCTTCGTGCTCTTTGCATAGGCCACTCAGCAATGGGTGCAGTTAGGGGGTGCTGCCCCCACCCCCAGGCGCTTGTGCCACATGCTGTGTGTCTGACAGTTTATCCCACTGAAATCTAAAGCGTCCTGAGTGTACCTCATGGGCCTGGCCCCACTCTGAGGCCGCCAACACCCAACCCTCCCTCCTTCCTCCCCCACAAGGCTGTCGTTCCCCAGCCCCTCCCAAGAGGGGACCAGGCTCAGGGAGAAAAATCCACCCTCATTCCAGGAAAAAACTGCCCTTGCAAATCCCAAATAGACTCCACGTGAAGTGGCCTAGAAAACACAAGGCGGGTCCCAGGGATGTGGCCCCACCCTTCCCGCATCTTCCTCGGAATGCAAACCCCTCTCTAAGCGGAAACGGCCACGTGAGCCTTCCTAAGCACTGGGACCTGAGAAGCGGTGCTGGCCAAGTGTGTCTAATGAGGACTGAGATAGGTCCTTTAACTAGGAAAGCAAACGATGCTTGTCCGTGGCTCAGGGACCACCACAAGTGCCACTCCCATGGGCCACACTGGGCTGGCAGGTCCAGTACCTTCCTTGGTAAGCAATTATGGAGTCTAGTCCCCCTGGGGCTCCCCTCCGGCGGAGAGGAGACATGCAAGGGTGGCGTTGTCACATCCCAAAGAGGCGGGAGGGCAGCGGGGTCCTCACGGGGCACATGGCCCGGAGGCTCCCTTCCCAGCCATCCAGTGTGGGGTCTCTGGTGGGTCCCACCGTGAAGGGCCCTGTCCAACAGAAGCCATCTGAGGCTGGGTGCGGCAGGAGGCTCCTGAGCCTCCTTTCCTGCCGGGAGAGGGCTGGGGTGAGCCTGTGCAGGGCCGGCTCTCGGGCTGGTTTGGGAAGGGGCGTTCCCGAGTGCTGTGACCTGAAAGCTTTGCTGTGGCCTCCTGTCCCCGCAGCTGCAGAAGATGAAGGAGAAGAAGGGCCTGTACCCGGACAAGAGCGTCTACACCCAGCAGATAGGCCCCGGCCTCTGCTTCGGGGCGCTGGCCCTGATGCTACGCTTCTTCTTCGAGGTACCAAGCCCAGCGGGGAGGTGTTCTGTGCCCCAGAGCCCACTTGGCGTGGCTCTGCTCAGCTGGGAAACCAGGGCTGTGCCCACGTTGGGGGGACTCTGACAGCCCCAGGCCAAAGTCAGGCATTAGTCCCTGCTCACTAACCCCTCCCAGAGCTATGTTGGGGGCACTGCCGTCCCCAGCACCGCCAGCACCATGGCCTGTGTGGACCTGGAGGCCACAGAGAGACCAAAGCTGGCTGCCTACAGAAAGCTGGCATCTCAGATGGCAGCACAGCCTGAGAGAGGCCTGGGGCAGGTGCCCAATGCCTGGGGCAGGTGTCCGACACCTGGAGGAGGGAGGGAGGGAGGGGAGGAGACAGGGAAGGAAGGAGGGAGAAAGTGGAGAAGGGAGGGAGGAGCAGGGGAAGAGGGGTAAGGAGAGAAAAGAGGGGAGATGGAGGAAGGGAGGGAGGGTAGGAAGGAGAGAAGGATGGAGGAAGAGAAGGACAGCAGAGAGAAGGGATGGGGAGGAAGGAAGGAGCGCAGCCTGGAGAATGGCACAGGCCCTCACTGCTCCGGGGTTAGGTGGAGAGAAAGGCCGCCGTGAGCGCGACCGTGGGGGAGGATTCCTGCAGGTGTCCCAGTGCCCAGGAAGAGGCGCGGGCCTTGAGGGGCTCGGCTGGGTCTTGCAGAGGGAGGAGCCTTGGGGAGGGGCTGAGGCCCCAGACTGATCGCCTGCCCCCCGCAGGACTGGGACTACACCTATGTCCACAGCTTCTACCACTGTGCCCTGGCCATGTCCTTTGTTCTGTTGCTGCCCAAGGTCAACAAGAAGGCTGGAGCCCCGGGGGCCCCGGCCAAGCTGGACTGCTCCACCCTGTGCTGTGCTTGTGTCTGAGGCTGCGCCCAGCCCGGCTCTGAGCCCCTGCCCTCCCCAGCTCACGCTTGGCCAGAGTCCCAGACAGTTTCTCCTCCCGCAGCTCCTGCTGTCCTTCCCTGCCCCAGAGCATCCAGGAGAAACATCTCTTGCATACCCTGAGAGGCCCCCGGGGGTCTGTGAAGGGCCCATCACACTGCACTAAATGCTTCTTAAGAACCCGCTTATTCCGTTGTGACGGGGTGCACAGCAGCAGGACCAAGCTGGAAAGATAAGAATGTTCTCCTCCCAGGCCTTGTCACGACCCATTGGCGTGTCTGGTGGAGCCCTAGGTCTGGCGTCTGCCCACCCCACTGCTGGCCAGCGGCCCAGGAGTCCCAGCTGGGTGCCAGCCATGACGGGGGGGTGCTCCCATGTCTTCACTTTTCTCCTGGGAACTGCTATCACCATCTCTGTCCTGTGTCCTCAGGCTCCGAGCAACCCCATTTAGGAAGCGGGGGCCGGCGGGGCCAGCTGGATCCCTGGCCCAGGCCAGTCTGGCCCCACCCCTTCTGCTGGGTCCCTGAATCAAGCCGTTTTCATAATTATAACCAATAAGAAGTGCCTCAATGTATCAACCTCACTGCGTCCCAGACACTTTCTATACATCCTAACCCTTAAAACAAGACTCAGCCAAGCGTCATCCC